CATTCGATTAAAAAAAAACCCAGTAACACGTAACTTTGCGAAAGTCCTTCGACTTAATTACAGATTGTTAATTTTGATTCATATCAAAGAAAACAATATTCCATTATTAAAAATAAAAATATGTTAGGAAATATGTCAATTTACACCTTATTTTCAATACCATAATGTAAAACAAAAATGGACTTCATTTTATTAATTGACATTGAATTGTAGTGCTGCGCAATAAAATGCAGTTATATTCTTATTATGGTAAACAGTATAAATTCTCTTGCAAACAAAAAAAATCCACTCATCAGTCAAAAAAGGAGTGTTCATTCCTTTTGGATCTTTTGCACGTACTCAAACTAGTCATTCGATTAAAAAAAAAACCCAGTAACACGTAACTTTGCGAAAGTCCTTCGACTTAATTACAGATTGTTAATTTTGATTCATATCAAAGAAAACAATATTCCATTATTAAAAATAAAAATATGTTAGGAAATATGTCAATTTACACCTTATTTTCAATACCATAATGTAAAACAAAAATGGGCTTCATTTTATTAATTGACATTGAACTGTAGTGCTGCGCAATAAAATGCAGTTATATTCTTATTATGGTAAACAGTATAAATTCTCTTGCAAACAAAAAAAATCTATTCATCAGTCAAAAAAGGAGTGTTCATTTCTTTTGGATCTTTTGCGCATACTCAAACTAGTCATTCGATAAAAATAAAAAAAGAAAAAAAAAAGTAACACGTAACTTTGCGAAAGTCCTTCTACTTAATTACAGATTGAAAAAATTGACCAGGTATGAAATACCTAAAATACACTACGAGATACCTTTGTGTGATTTTCACACCAATTAAATTCACAAAACTACAACAGCAACAACAAAAAATCCTAAAGCAACCCCATCTGTGGAGAGACAATATGTGTAGTGAGGAAAGGCACATATTGTCGCTGGCGACAATATGTGCATGTGTATCTATTCAGTCGGCGACAATATGTACAGTGAGGGTAGGTACATATTGACACTGACATCAATATGTACAGATCGACAATATGTACCGTTACAAAACATGCCTAAACAAATGCTAGTTGTATAAAAATTCGGAGATGTGGAAATTGACCTTTGTTTTGATAAGATTAATCTTTTATCTTATCCCTCTCTCCCTATATCACAATATCGGAGTCAGTCGTACTGCCTAGACTTCTAACACATACCCGTATAAGATAAACATGCATTAAATAAGGTAGGTACATGGATTAGTGTTACCTTTATATTCTTACAAAAAAGCAATATTTACATCAATGAATCTGTAATGGTTATACGATGGCTGACTTGAGCAGGTCCAGGTTACAACATGATTTGGTTCATATGTAATTAAAAATAAGTATTTAGGTGCAAATGCAATACGTAAACATTCTCCTTTCTTCGTAGGAATTATGTTAAAATAAAACTGTCCAGTGTGATGAATGAAAATTTGACGTTATTTTTTTAGGAATCAAAATGAAAAACTAGATCACGTGTTTTGTGATTTTTTAATGAATACTAGTTAGGTAAAAATACATTTTGCACTTTAATGCTGGCCATTTGTAATAAATTGTTTAAAGTAAACTATGGCTATATTGAATACTATATGTAAAAAAAATATGCTACTTTCACAAATAATTTGCAATAAGATAAAATAATGATACATGTATGAACTTATTGAAAAAAATGCCTTGAAGCTTAAGATAATTTACATCATCCTGTAAGTATTTACTGAATAACCCATGTGTAAACATGGAATGTGGTCCTCTTTTTTTTATACAGTCATATAACAGACAGGATTCCTCATACATTATTTATAAAAAAAATTGTTAATTATGAAAAATTAGTTGGGACGGAGGGAATAATAAATTAACTAGATTAAGTAGGGACATCTAATACATAGATAATTTACGAAAGAATTTGTATCAATATGGTCATCCATTTAATAATGAATAGAAACTGAGTGGTTTTTCTCCTTGTATTTAGAGTAATAACGCTTAATAAGGAAACAAAAGGCCCATGGGCCCTAAAGCTCATCTGCGTCACCTTGATCCGGCTAATTTAGAAAAGAATATCCTCTTTATTTCCCATGAAAAATTTTAATCCCATATTGTAGCCGTATCCAAGCCCCAAGATATTATAATTTAATCAAACTTGAATCCACAAAACATGAGGATACGTCGGTATCAATATGACTTACATTGCCTAAGTCCTGCTGATCCGGAGAAAAGATTTTTGAACGATATTTTTTCTGTACATATCCATTTGGCAAATTTAAGACCCCAACCCCAGGGTTCAAATTATGAAAAATTTGAATTCATACATCTTTCTTGAATATCTATATTTATTCGGCCTTGATAATCTTGAAAATATTTTTTTTATGTCCTGTGTCCATGTAAAACTCTTTTCCCTAAATGTGTCCGTTGAACCCGACCCCCGTGGACGATGAATCTGCAAATCTGACGCTGCTTGAATATTAATATTACTAATCATGGCTCGTTAGTCTTTACAAGAAGATGTTTAAAAATGTTTTACTATAATTTATATTCCCATGTAAAAATTTATCCCTATTGATATTTTCACCTTTACTCTACCCAGGGGACAATGATTTGAATTTAGAATTCACACTTCCCGAGGATGCTTGTATATTAACATAACTAATCATGGCCCTACTGTCTTTAGGGAGAATATATTTAAAGATTTTTCTTATATATAACAGTGCGACAATTAATTCTGGACACAACATCGTCCAGACTTTTTACTCCCATTTCTAATTGTTGTCCAAAAATAAATTATAGCACTTGGTGGGATTTCTTAGCAGTATCTACGGGTCTCATGTTGAACTCACAAACATCTCTTTTTTAAAAGATATGAAGTCCTAAAAGTCAGAATCCCATGGGAGAATGTGGGATTTTTAGTCCTAACAACTATCTGTAATGTTTACGTTGCTTTGAAAATAATAATTCCTGATTAAAGTTTAGAATTTATTGAAGTCTAAAAGTACAAAACAAAACTGCATTTTTACTCAAAGGTTTTTTTTTAAGAGAATATCCTTACAGACAAACTCACGCACGCCTCATCCTTGACAACTCCACCCACTTTTCATAGATGAACCAATCGAACAATTTTTAAGACAGTGGTAAAATTAGGGAAAAGCTCAATGGCATTAATTTACAGAACAGGAAACAGTGTGAGTAAGCATAACAAATTCAAAGAAACATTGGTCTCAGATCTGACCATAAATCTGATAACAATTATAAGCGAATGGCATCGATACCGTGGGACGGGAGAGAGAGATGTCAAGATGAGAAATTACAAACACGTGCGGTAATGCTCTTTCTTAAGATCAAACAAAACAATTAAATTTCAATTACAGATTTTCAACAAGTCTAAAAAAAAATATTTAAACGATGCCTAAATCATTATAAGTACATGAAGAAAATATCTAATGAGTTGTCTTTATCAATAAAATATACACATGTATACAACACTATCCCACCTTTCTCCCATGGGAGAAAAAGTGTCAGATGGGATATTTTCTCCCAACGGGATTTTTTGTCCCACAAATTTGCTCAAATAGGATAAATCCCACGGATATTGACAATGAGTCATTTTCTCCCATACATTGTAGAAACATGGGGTATATCCCATAGATTATAATGAGTGAGATATCATTATCATAATCTGTGGGATATATCCCATGTTTCTACAATGTATGGGAGAAAATGACTCATTGTCAATATCCGTGGGATTTACCCTATTTGAGCAAATTTGTGGGAGAAAAAATCCCAATGGGAGAAAATATCCCATCTGACACTTTTTCTCCCATGGGAGAAAGGTGGGATAGTTGTTAGGACTAAAAATCCCACCATTCTCCCATGGGAACCTGACTTTTAGGACTTCATATCTTTAAAAAAAGAGATATTTGAGAGTTCAACATAAAACCCCTAGATACTGCTGAGAAATCCCACCAAGTGCTATAATTTATTTTTGGACATCATAATTAGAAATGGTAGTAAAAAGTCTGGACAATGTCGTGTCCGGAGTTAAATGTCGCACTGTTATATATATATTTCCCCTTTTTAAACTTCGACTTCCCATTGTTACACATAGTCCCATAATATCCCGGGACCATGATTTGAAGAAACTTGAATCTGCACTATGTCAAAAGTTTTCACATAATATTCAACTTTGCAGTCCAAGTGTTTCTTCAGAATAAGATTTTTTTTTTATTTCATCCACTTATCTTTTTTTTAATTATCCACTTTCAAGAGGGTGTGGCCAGAATTCATTTAAATTTCCATTATCCAATGATGCTTTATGGCAAATTTAATTGTTTCAGTGCTTCTAAAAAAGAAGTCGATAATGTAAAAAAATTAACAGACGGACAAACAGACAGACAGAGGGCAGACAGACGACGGACAACTGTGATCAGAAAAGCGCACTTGAACCTTCTGGTGAGCTAAAAAAGTGAATCATGTTGTCAAATTGTGTGTAACGGTATATTATATATCACGGACTGATATAATATTATAGTATTTTTTAAATTAAAAGATGCAAATATGGTAATACTATATGAAAACAACTATCTTTTTTTTTTGTTTTAATTGAAAGATGTGATGTTTTTTCTTTCTTTTTTTTTTACTAGGGTGCAGGTCTATTGGGATGTCGCCGGAGATATTTGTATATTCAACATTTATTTTCTTAGTATACGTTAACTGTGTATGTACTAGTTCTCAAACGAGTAAGTAAGCTATATCGCGATTAAATGCATTGTATTTCTGCTTTTTTTTCAACGGAAATATCCATTCCGAACCAAATGTCCAATATGATACTATGACTTAATACCTTTAAATCATATATATAATATTTGAAATAGTACTTTGGATTTCCGTGTTTTATCCTCAGACTTTGGATTCAAATTGCTTTATTCTGTGTTCTACCATAATTTGGCATTACTTTCTTATTATTAATTTCTGTGCAGTTGATGTGGACAAAAACGAATGTGAATACTATACGTCGTATAAGGTTAACCAGTTTAAGACGTACGAGATCGTGTGGCATGGCTACGCCATCAAAGGGTGTGGGGTGGGCTTCTACGCCGAGGGGGACAACATCTTCTCCTTTGATGATTACAAGATCTGTGTTCAGCCCATCGTCTGGAAAATGTCAGACTGCTCATCAAAACTCTACCTGAAATATAACGATGTCAAGGTATGCCATAACTTGTATTATAAAGATTTATCAAATAACTGTACATGTTTACGGAAAAGATTGCATTTGAAAAGTATCTTTATAAACCGAACAGTTTTGATTTCACACAAGAAAACAAGATCAGAGTTCTTCGCTTTTGCTACTTCTATGTATATATCGCTTATCGTACGGAAATGTATTATATCACGGATATGCAAAACTTGAATTTATCAAAATAAAGTAGGGTTGTGCATGTATGTTTTAGGACATATGATGATATTTTTTTATTAAAAACAATTACCAAGTTTTTATTCTTTAATTAAACAACAGTCTGTTCTACGTGTACATCCAAAAACCAGTATTTCTTCCTCGGAAAATTAATACAGTAGCTGTTATGATACCCTTGTAGAAAGCTTTAAAAGAACAAAAGATATTGGGTTACGCTAAAAGGAATCGTTCTGATCGGCAAGATCTACCCACATGTTATAATATATAACATTATAATAAAGTTGGCTTGAAATAACATTTTGCTGAAAATAAAAATATTCCTCCTTCCCACACTCACTGTTCGGGATTCATTTTCGGGTATAAACTTTTTCAGAGTGTATTTTGCAATGAAAGAATTCCGCAGACCCATTGCAATGATCCAAATATGAACTTGGATATTGAGGTTAAAATGCATGATCTGTATGCCTGGAAGGTGAATACCACCAGCTTCACATTGAAAGTATACGCTAAAAATACCACATATTGTAAGTAGAGTATACCCCAGCTCGAGAAGATCATAGTAATGAAAGGCCAAATATTTATGCAAACCCGAAATAGTTTTAGTAATATTTTTCTATAATGAGTATTGTATAATTATAAAAGATGTTTACTTTTATATTCCTGTTTTAAAATTGAAAAATAAATGTAAATATATTTATTCACTTTAGTTGTATTGATTTGTTTATAGATGGAATAGGACTGTTAGCGGCCTGTGCGTTGCTGTGGGTCCTCATTGTAGCTCTTTGTACGTTAGTCAGAAGACGGCGTTCTAACAGAGGTCACAGTCGCAGGTCATCTACCTTATATAGTCTATCAGGTATGGCATTGTTTGTTTCTTTGTTTCATGTCCCTTCGAAATTTTTCACTCATACTGAGACGCCACCACTTGCCGGTGGAGGACTGCAAATTTAGACCTATATTCGGCACTCCCGGCCTTTGCGCAGTGAGGAATCTTTTTCGTGCCAGCGCCTACTGTGACACGGGACTTCGGTTTATACGGTCTCATCCAAACGACTTGTCTCCACGTCCCACAGTGGGATTCAAACCCGCAACGTAAGGATCAACTCCTTTCTCCGCGACTCTAGAGCAAACGCTCAAACCACTGCGCCACGCGGGCGACGGTATGGTATTGTAATCCTAAAAATAAATTAACCTAGAAACGAGAAGATGGTGCTTTCTACAACGCATATTTGTTAAAACAAGAGGCCCATGGGCCACAACGCTAACCTGAGTAACATTGGCCCTACTGTTCTTCAACAGATTTTCCCCTTTTAATACGTATTGTGGCCCCACCCTACCCCTGGGGGTCATGATTTGAACAATTTAGAATTTACCACAGGATGTTTCCTTTAAAAGACCTATATATTTCAATGGAAAATTTTGATTCCCCATTGTGGCCCCACCCTATCTCCGGGGGTCATGATTTGAACAATTTAGAATCTACATTATCCCTGGATGCTTCCATATTAGTTTCATCTTTTCTGGTCCCAGTGGTTCTTGAGAAGATTTTTAAAGATTTTTCCTATATATTTCAATGTAAAACTTTGATTCCTCATTGTGGCCCCACCTTACTCCCGGGGGTTCTTGAGAAGATTTTTTAATGACCCCACCCTATTTTTGTTTTTTCTTGATTATCTCCCCTATTGAGTGGGCTTGGCCCTTCTTTTTAACAATTTAAACTCCCCTTCACCCAAGAATGCTTTGTACCAACTTTGGTTAAAATTGGCCCAGTGGTTCTTGAGAAGAAGTTGAAAATGTGAAAAGTTTACAGACGGACGAAGGTGATCAGAAAAGCTCACTTGAGCTTACAGCTCAGATGAGCTAAAAACAATATATTATGAGTTTTTTATCTGGCTTAGTACATAAATACTAGCAGTAACAACATTTCCTAAACTTATTAGTCTTTTTCTGGTCTGTATTAAAAAGTACCTTTAAATTGTACAACTGTTGAATTTGAAAACAGTACAGTTGTACATTTAATGGTGAAAATTAAAATCCTGATTGTTGTTTGTAGGTATTGACAATATCAACTATACAACATCAGAGGGTCCATGTCCGCCGCCATATACACCACGTGACGACCATCCCTTACCACCTTACTCTACAGAAGATCATCACAAGGGAAATAATCCTATTTCACACATCTAGATCTTACTTTCCAATATATATATTTGATATATGTTTATTTATTAAATCGTGTATTTATTTTGTAGAACTCATCTTGTTTGTGATTGATAAAGATTTTTTTTATGTATAAGTATGACAGCACTAAAACATTTGCTGCATGTTATTGATCAATGGCATCTTCACGGGTCTTTCCGGCAAGCTCGGAAAAACACCTCGAATGTATTTACATACCGGATGCTAAGACTTTATACAAAATGGAGTCGCTTCTTATTGATTAAAACATTTGCTAGACAGATTATAGAAATCGAAGCAATAAAAATAATTAAATGTTTGACTTTATGAAAGTTTAAAAAAAACAGATGCATTAAGCCTTTCAAGCAAAAGGCATGTTTTAGAGAAAATAGAGTTTAGCAGACAGACAAATGTTTTGACAAGTTGTGGAAGTGGAGTGGGTGGATGAGGCACAAGTTCTTGCATGCATGTATCCCCCCAAACCTCCGATTTTCAAAGTAAGAAATTACGAATTGGTTATAAAAATGATGTCGATCAGCTAGAAAAAATGACATGTATCAGTCTGTGATACAGCAAAACCCAGCGCTTAGATCAGATAGAAAAGATTTTGGGGTTGGTGGTACTAGAAAACACGGAAAGAATTGTTTTATTAAATGTTGTGCAATATTGTGAAGATATGGTATCCCTCTTTGTGTTCAGACTTTCTATGGATTCTATTGTCATATCATTTGAAAGTTTATTTTCCAGATATTGTGATGGTTGTATTGATTGATTGATTGCATTTTGTTTTACGTCTCGTGTGATAGTTGTAGTAATGATACAAAAAGTGCGCATGTGAGAGGTCCACCTAAGTTACAGAAAACTGAGTATAATTTATAGAATAGCTCCTTTTATTTTTTTATAAAAAGAAAAATGATCAACAAAGGGGAACAATTTATTAATTTTTCTAAACATTCAATTACATAAATATTAAACACAAAGTGTGGAATAAAGGTCTCTAGAATTGTCTGAGATTTCTGCGTTATCGCACACAATATTGGTAAATACATGAATATACCCTTATGAAAACCGTCCATTTAGATACTTTGTTTTACCGAATAACAAACTATCCCTGTAGATCGCATTCTATATATTCAAACACTTTTCATCCATGTTGAACACAAAAAGCGAAATGTAAACATGTACAAACACAGCGCAAACTTTATTGACTGGCACTTCAATCGCAGATGGCATTTTACAATTTTGTACCAATCGATATAAAAAGAAACATTGTCGATATCAATACAATTTTTAAATCAAAGAAAGGTAAAAAAAAATCTCTTCATAAAAAAAGGTTAAGTTTAAAGCTTATAAAAATGAGTATTATAACTTTTCTGGTCAATTTCAAAGAAAAATGGTAACAGGCGACTGGATGTTCGCCAGATCCGACTTCGACATAATTGTGCAAACAAGTCAAACATCCAGCAATCTGCAAAACAGTCAAGATCTCTAACACATTAGGATAAGGAATCAACCATGGCAGAATCAGCAAGTGGAATCATGAGAAATACCATTCAGGATTAATCTCAATAAAATTATCATTTAATGGGTCTGTCCGAGTTAAATTGACACTCTTACTAATATTAATCAAAATATTTATAAAAAAAAAAATCGAAATGACGTTTTATGATGTGAGGAGAGAAAAAACTCGATAAAGTTCTGTCTACATAGTATGGAATCCAGATAGGGCCACGTACTTTACTATCGCATCATCGTGCATCGACTATTGCGATGACGATGACTTCATGGTGCTAGATTATGCAATAATTGATAACGTGAAGCCCGCGAAAGAGCAAAGCGCAGAGAATTGATTTTTTGGAACAAAAGAACAACCCCATTACCCGTATATCCTAGTGGTTTCTACTAACAGTTGTTGAAAGTTGTATAGGAGGAAAAAAAACAATTTTTTTTCATTCTTTGAAATTTCAGTTACTGAAAGAGCAGAACTACATTTCCTCCACCCCCTTCTTTTTTGGTAAAACTTTTGCTTTTCGCCCTTATGTATAGGCCCACTATTTTAAACAAACGGTAAAGATTGTATTAAAAACTCCAGATTTATTGATTAAAGCGCAAACTTCTAGCAGCTTTAGTAAAACGTCAAAACATACAGTGCAAGTATGTGCACTTCCTTTACTGCACATATTTGAGCAATAACATATTCATCATTTTATTGATTGATTTCCTTCTTACAATGTCAGTAACTTTATTTTTGATGCCTGTTGTGTATACAGAACCTCGGGTTCTTTGACATGTTGCCTTGGGAATTTCTATTTTCATCAAGGATAAAAGAAGTGACTAGAAACTGACAGAGTCAGCTGAGATGTGCTCTGCTAAGGGCTGTTTAAGGACTTGGATTCCCTAATATCATTCAGGCATTACACATACAGACAAACAAAGTGATATAACAGTTCAAATATAATCACGATCTAAAGATTATTCAAATTTTATACCGATATTCCCATGCCCATTTAAATCAATGATTTTTGCGATCGGCTTTGACCGATCACAGTTGATTCCGTACGGACCACAATAACTTTGTTTGCTTAAAGGGTTCCTGTATTTATTCATTTTATTCAACGTGCTTAAGGTTCATCGATACTCTGATAAGAGAGATAAATCTTAATGACATAAATATCTATTATTCCTTCATAAATTTGCCAGGTTATAGTGTCTTTTTTGTCCACTTTTGCCCCGCAAGCTATGCTATAATTGTTTTTACATATTTCTTTTGGAAAATCATTAGTTAAAGCAGCATTTTATATGAATGAGCAGAGGGTTTATGAACCTTAATTCAATTACTATCTACCTACCTAGTCCTTGTTATGCCCGTGGGCACATAGGGCAAGGACTAGATTTTTCCACTTCTCTCTATCTTGAGCATTTTTTTCCCCACTTCTCCCCAAGTTAGTTTGTGCTCTCTCATCTCCTTTTCCACAGTCCTTCGCCAGCTGTTCTTTGGCCGACCAGGTTTCCTCTTCCCTTCTGGTGTCCTTCTAAGGGCTAATTTGGTGATGTTGTTGACTGGTTTTCTTCCTTCTACTTATGTGATTTGTTTTCCAGATGCTGTTGAGGCTGATGAAGGCACCCCTAGCTTTACTTAGTCTGGCCTTTATATCTTTGTACGCACCCCCATCTGATGTTACTATGCTGCCAAGATAGGAAAATGTTGTTGTGTTGCTCAGGTTATTTCCACCTACCTGTATTCTTGCTGGTTGTTTGGTATTTAATGACATAACTTCAGTTTTTTTATATTGATCTTCAGTCCAATTTTTTCTGTATTACTCTTTAATTTTGATGTTTTACTTTACATATTCTTTTCTAGATGTGACAGTAGGGCCAAGTTATCTGCGTAGTCTAGGTCTTCAAGACTGGTAAAAAGAGTCCATCTTATTCATGTGTTTTCTCCACTAAGGGTTGATTTCATACCCAGTCTATTGCTAATATAAAAAGGAGAGCTGACATCACACAACCCAGCCTTACGCCAGATTTTACTATGAAGCATGCATCTGATGAGCTGCCAATAGAGCAATTAAACTCCAAGTAAAAAGCTTTAATCAGTTCTACTATCCTTGACGGTATTCCATAATACCTTAAGATCTTCCATAAGCTTTTCTGTGTATACTCTCAAAGGTTTTTTTTTCAAAATTCAATTACTAAAACACTAAAAAGATTTTTTTTTTCAAAACATTTTCTTTCTAATATGCATGATATGTATATGTGATAACATTTTCTAAATATTCTCAAGATTATTTTTTATTGACTGGTTCCGTGACATTGGTTAACAAGCACGAGCGCTCGAAAAATAGTTCCCACAGCAACGACTGGAGTCAAGGGCATAGAATCAGTGTTAGCTGAAAAAAGAAATATAAAATGTATTTGATAATAATTGCCCCGAGATGTCATGAGGCTCAAAAATTTTAATTATGAGATCGGGGATTGACGAAAAGTATAATCATGCACATTTCGTTTTGTAATAATTTGTAACAAGTTATTTCTTCTTTATCACTGAAATCAAGTTTTGATTAAATACTTAACTTATGACGGTTTTTCAAATATTGATCCAGTAAGTTAGATCAGTTAATTGTGGCCATCAACGCGCGCTCTCTCTCTCTCTCTAGAATACAGTATTTCAATGTTTTTTGTTAGTTTTTATTCTCGAAAAATATACCTTTAATTTGATTTACGGTAATTACTATGCAAACAAAATTTAATATAGTTTACGGACATCATGTTTTATCTAAGTTGATATTAGAGGGGGTAGTTAGAATCCAATGCACATTAGGCATTGGATTTTATTATCTCCCAGTCGTTGGTTACATTTTTCTCTCCGGATGATGTCTTCTTAAAGAAAAAGAATCATTGCTTCAGAATCTTTATATTACAAAAAAATGTTAAAATTTCCAAGGTCAAAGATTGCATGACATGGATTGGGAAAGATTTTCAAGGTTATAGATCTAGATCGATATCATTGATGCAAGAAATCCGTCAAAGAAAAACTTGAGTGTTCATTCACAAGGCTTTTCTGAGAGAAGAGAAAAATATTGTTTTTAGTGGAAAGTAGGAAGCATCATTATTAAATCTGTACATAAAAAGTGCACATAAATGCTGAGGAATGCGAAAATTCTTCCAGTGGATAAATAATTTCCCAGGATTTTTTGTTTGTTTGTTGCGCTCTCATATCTTCTTTTGGCCTCTTGTGGTCCCCGTACTTCTAAACCCAAAGCAAAGGATTTTTCAGCTGATATTGCTATTTTCTGACATTCATTATTTTATGTAAACAGTGGACGGTGGCTGGAGTAACTTCGGTCTCTGAAGTACATTCAGTCACTGTACGAAGACGTGTGACTGTGATGGAAAGACACGTTACACAGAGAATATAACAACCCTAAATCACAAACTCATTAAAAAATGGGTGGGGCGCGAGTAAACATGTGCCCCAGTCTGGCGACGGCGACAAAATTTTTGACAAAAAAAGGTACATGTACTTAACAATAACACATTACTAGCATTT